ACCCGGCAGCTTTGGAGGATTTTCTTGAGCCTTAAAGGCATATCCTGGACTATGCCTAGGAGAGTTACTGAGGCCTTGTACAGCTGGGAGGAGGCAGGTGCCCTTGCAAAAGACAGAACTAGATGGAGAATTATCCCTGCTTCAATATGGTGGGCAATCTGGAAAGAAAGGAATTCCAGATGTTTTGAAGGCATAGAAAATAGTGTGCAGGATGTTAAACTAAACTGCATTTTGTTGTTATGTTTTTGGTGTAATCAATTATACTCAAATGACACTGTCTCTATAGTTGATGTTCTAGACTCAATATAGAAATAGAGTAGGAGTGTCTAGAGTGCATCTGTATATAAGGTTTGAGTACAACCCATGTACTTTTGTGATATAATACATCGTTACCATTTTCAAAAAAAAAAAGCTGTAGTAATCTACTGCAAATAGAAATAAAAAATAAAAAACTTAATTTCCTTAAATCTTCCATGTGTAAAACATTGGTAGACTAAAAGGAGTGCTAACATTACTCCCCTCTTCAAAGCGCGCTTTCCCTCAAGCGCTAAGTGTGGAAAATATTAGTAGTTCCCCCTTTTCTAACAAATTCTTCCTCATTGTATATAGAGTCAATCTAGAAAAACTTCTTGCACTGATGACCTCAAGCGAATGGTTCATCACAGTTGAAACAAAGTCCCTTAAGTCGCCTTTCCTCCATTTCAGATCTGGTCAGTTTCTTCACAAATCTGACATATTGTTGAGGTGAAAAATCTATTGTCTTTGATGTGCAAGCATCTAACAATTGCGAACAAATGAGTTTTTCCTTGCGCTCATAAAATGGGGATAAACTCATTGCCATAGCTAAATCTGGAGGATTATGCAACTCAACCTCAATTGCTATATAATTAGTAAGACCGTTGATATAAAGTTCAATTTTTTGTGACTGTGAGTGTACCAACCCGCGAAATTAACTGCTCAAATGTTTCTTGGTAATCTGCCACAGACCCGATCTGGCGTAGCTTAGCCAATTCTCCCAATTTTTTACTTCTGATTGGTGGCCCAAAACGAAGATTACAATGACGTTTGAAGTCATCCCAAGACAGTTGAGGTAGTTCAGTCTCTAGTTGAAGAAACCAAAGTTGTGCATTGCCCTCCAAATGAAAAGAAGCAAGTCCAACCATTTCTTCTTCCCGAGTTTGTTGGTGTCGAAAGAAGTGTTCACATCTGTTCAACCATCCCAAAGGGTCCTCTTGACCATTAAATCGTGGAAAATCCAACTTTGTATGTCGAGGAATGATGAAACTTCCTCCTACTTCTGATCCTGACCCTCCTGCCACTTTATTTTTACCCTTCCAGCCACGATTCTGACTAATATGTTCAGTTGAATCAGAATCGACCGTCGAATTTGCTAAATCCTTTGTGAGTGCATCTAAGCGAGCATTTATTGCTTCCTGTCTCGCTATATTGGCTGCACGTTCTTCTTGAAACAAGTTCACTAATTGTGCCAGTTGATGTTGAATTTGATCTCCTATAACATCCGTCTCTGATACCAAGTTGTTATGGTCCCCGGTTATGGATCTAGTTATGGGACGCTGCAAGATAAAATCTGAAGTTTTCTGTTTTCTACCTATGGTGCTGGTTCGTTAATAGAGAACCTGCTAAGTACTCCAAAACTTGACTAATTTTCTGCTTATCATTTCACCAAATACAAATAACATTAAATACAACACTGGTGGATTAACCACCCCATCTGAAAACAAGGAAGTAACTTCCTACTACAACTGAAATGAGAAAGTGGAGAAATAACCTCCTTACTGCAACAACTGCTACACAAAAATAGGAAAAACAAGTAACTAAAAAGCTGGAGTAATCTACTGCAAATAGAAATAAAAAATAAAAAACTTAATTTCCTTAAATCTTCCATGTGTAAAACATTGGTAGACTGAAAGTGGTGCTAACAAAGGATCAGTAGAAGTCTTAACAAACTTTGGGGATATTAAGGCTATTTTCATGGCAGGTTAAGTTAGATGGGATTGTGCATGTGTCATGGTGCTTCTGTCTCTATTTGGTCTAAGAGCACATTTGTTATGCATTGACTAGTCTCTGACTTACAAAGAAGTCTGAATTTAATTTCTTCCACTACTCATTAGAACAAAGGGATAACTGTTTTTTGTATTGATTTATGTGATACATGCAATAGAAAACAACGATAGATAGCATCCTATCCCGGTTGATTACTTTATAAAAAGATATACCTATGATATTACCTTGAAAAGAGAAACAAAAATTCGGAAGAGAAGTGAAATCCTCTGAAGGTTATATGGACTAACATTATGCTGAAATGAAATGTTGGCATTGCTGAAATTTTTCGATCCTTTAACCTTTGTTTCTGAGGCAAAAACTGTTCTTGGGGAATTCATACCTTTCTTCTTCTTCTTCTTCTTTTTTTCTCGAAAAGATGGAACATTTATGTCCTTCCAATATGTAATATATCTTGATTGGTTAGAGTCAACTTTACAATCTTTTATAAATATCTATTAGAAAAAAGAAACGAACCAAGGTGTTCTTTTTCATTTCAGTGATTTTTTTTGCTTTCAGCTAAAACATGCACCAAAGCTATACCAAAGAGTTTCTGGACCTGCTGTTGCTTCCAAGTTCAGTGCTGACAGGTATCATATCTGTAAGGAAGATTGTGAGTTCCTTTGGGTTCGCACAACTGATTTTTCCAACATAAAGTCTATCGGATGTTCATCCTCTCTTTGCTGGGAAACTGAAGACGGATGGTTAAGTTCAGATTTGCTTTCTAGTTTGCCATGTTGCAACAAGGATGTGATAGATCTAGATCTGGATAAAGTAGGAGATATTTATTCTGGTTCTGAATTTGTTCCCCTTGTGAGGATCCCATCAGATCTGAAGCTACCTTATGAAATCCTTTTCCAGCTTAATTCCCTCGTACAGACTCAAAAAATTAGTCTTGGTGCTGTTAATCCAGATCTCATTGAAGTTCTTAGCAAATTAGAATTGGACACTGCAATGATGATCCTTCAGAAAATGCATAAGTTGCAGTCAACCTGTTTCGAGCCCTTGACATTCATCAAGACACGCTTGCATGTTTTGGGTAAAAACAATAAGAACCAGCTTTCATCATCTTACAGCAGGTTAGTGAATCATAGCATGATGAGTGTTCACAGAGTCTTGGTAACACCATCAAAGATTTACTGCCTGGGTCCAGAGCTTGAAACCTCCAATTACATTGTGAAGAACTTTGCAGAACATGCTTCTGATTTCTTGAGAGTAACTTTTGTAGAGGAGGATTGGGGTAAACTTTTTCCTAATGCCGTTTCTATGAGTGTTGAACAAGGTATCTTTGCAAAGCCTTACAGAACTAAAATCTATCATCGGATTTTGTCTATCCTTCGAGAAGGAATTGTTATTGGAACTAAAAGATTCTTTTTCCTGGCATTCTCGGCCAGTCAGCTTCGCTCAAATTCAGTTTGGATGTTTGCTTCTAATGAATATGTCAAGGCAGAAGATATCAGAGAGTGGATGGGGTGCTTCAACAAGATTCGTAGTATCTCGAAATGCGCTGCAAGGATGGGTCAATTGTTTAGCACCTCTGTTCAAACAATGGAGGTTCAATTGCAGCATGTTGAGATTCTTCCAGATATTGAAGTGACCTCTGATGGTGTTAGTTATTGCTTCTCAGATGGTATTGGAAAGATTTCCCAAGCTTTTGCCAGACAAGTTGCTCAGAAATGTGGATTGAATCATACCCCATCAGCATTTCAAATAAGATATGGTGGTTATAAAGGTGTGATAGCTGTTGACCGCAATTCCTTTCGAAAGCTATCTCTTCGTGGCAGTATGCTCAAATTTGAATCAAAGAACAGGATGCTTAATATTACCAAGTGGAGTGATGCAATGCCTTGCTATCTGAATCGGGAGATTGTTATCCTTTTATCTACTTTGGGAGTTGAGGATAAAGCTTTAGAAGACCTGCTAGATAATCATCTTCGTCTTCTGGGCAAGATGTTGACCACTAATGAGGCAGCTTTAGATGTTTTGGAGAGCATGGGTGGTGGTGACGTAAAAAAAATCTTAATGAGGATGTTGCTCCAAGGATACGCACCCAATCGGGAGCCTTATCTCTCGATGATGCTTCAGTCACATTTTGAGAATCAGATTTCAGACCTAAGAAGTAGGTGTCGTATATTCATTCCAAAAGGTCGAATTCTAGTAGGATGCCTAGATGAAACAGGTATATTGAAGTATGGCGAGGTTTATGTACGAATAACCATGACTAAGGCTGAGCTACAAAATGGTCAGCAAAATTTCTTCCAGAAGGTGGATGAAACAACTGCAGTAGTAAGAGGTAAGGTTGTAGTCACAAAAAATCCTTGTCTTCATCCTGGAGATGTAAGAGTACTTGAGGCTGTGTATGAGGTGACATTAGAGGAGAAGACCTGGGTGGATTGCATTATTTTTCCTCAGAATGGAGAAAGGTAGAGTTTAACTGTTACATATATATGATATTTGAGCAGAAAATATTCAGTACACGATATTCTGTGGAACTTTTCATATCCCAACTATTTTACTTAATTTGACTTGTCTACCATATACTGTTCTTTTCCTTGGTCTTCATGAAGACTGATAAAGAAGTTTTTTTGCAAAGTTTTGGATTCTTAAAACTAGGACATGACTGAAAGTAAGTGGTTAGTGCCAATAGGTTCTATTAATTGTTTTTCGGTAAGTACTAATAGCCTACCCCTACTACCTTGGGATTGAGGTGTAGTACTTGTAATAGGTATTAAAAAGTTCTAGTAATTGCACTAAATATAATATCTTCTTTCGCTAGAGGTTCATGCCTTTTTGTCTTAAATAATTTAATCATGAAGTTTTAGCAAGTGTGAGAGGTATGAAGAGAGAGTTGGCTTAGTCTTGCCTTCTTGGAGCAGGGATCTGCTTTCCACATTTTCCCTTTCTAAACTTATTATATATATATTGTACTTCCACACCCCTCCTCCTCAACCACTCAAAGGGAAATAATAATAATAATAACAACTATAATAATAGATCAAAAAAGACTGTTCTCGAATCTAGAGCTTTAAAACTTTCTTCATACTGCTCAAAGGAAATTAAATGTTCTTTAGTACTCAAAAGTACTGAATTGTCATGTGCAGGCCTCATCCAAATGAATGCTCTGGTGGTGATCTTGATGGAGATCTTTATTTCATATGCTGGGATGAAAGTCTCATTCCTCATCAAACAGTGACACCCATGGACTACACTGGGAGAAGACCTCGTATAATGGATCATGAAGTTACTCTAGAGGTAGCTTGAGCTATTTCTTCCATGAATCAAGAAATCTTTTTTTCTGAAAACCTCTTGTTTCTTTCCCTGATTTTTTGCAGGAAATTCAGAGATTTTTTGTTGATTACATGATTAGCGATACTCTAGGTGCGATCTCTACTGCACATTTGGTTCATGCAGATCGTGAACCAGATAAAGCTCTGAATTCAAAATGCCTCCAGTTAGCAACCCTTCATTCAATGGCTGTGGACTTTGCAAAAACTGGAGCTGCAGCTGAGATGCCCAGGTTTTTAAAACCAAGAGAGTTTCCCGATTTCATGGAGAGGTGGGACAAACCCATGTACATTTCTGAAGGGGTACTAGGGAAGCTTTATCGTGGTGTTATCAAGTCTTATATTCGTAGGAACTCAGATGACCTTTCTACTGATAGAGCTATCCAGGATGCTTATGATCATGACCTTCTGGTTGAAGGTTACGAGGCCTTCATTGAAACTGCTAAAACTCACAAAGAAATGTACTTGGATAGCATGAACAGCTTACTCAACTACTATGGAGCAGAGAAAGAGGTTGAGATACTGACAGGCAATTTGCGCCAGAAGTCTGTGTATCTGCAGCGGGACAACAGGAGGTACTTTGAACTAAAAGATCGAATCTTGGTTTCTGCCAAAAGCTTACACAAGGAGGTCAAAGGGTGGTTCTCTGGTTGCTGCACGGAGGATGATCATCAGAAATTGGTTTCAGCATGGTATCATGTTACTTATCATCCTAGTTACTGCCACGAAAGTGCTAATTGTCTGGGCTTTCCCTGGGTAGTTGGTGACATTTTGCTGAATATAAAATCGCATAATACCAGAAAAACCACCCCCTAGTGTTCAACCATGAAAGCAACTTTGTTGTTTGATCCTGCCTTATCCAAGAAAATGTGTAATCCATGTGCTTAATGTAAAACTTAAACTCTCTTGTCAGGAGTGCTATCCATGCAATCTGTTGTCGATCACTGTGAATAAAATCCTGATTCCTTACCTATTGCTTTGTAACCATGGCTGGTGTCTTAATACAAAATTAGTCTTAGTTTCCTCAAGATGTTCGAATACATCCGAACTAGTGCATGACCCCCTTTTTTTCTTTCAGTAATGTTCGGACCAGCTTATGCACATTTCTAACGGTTGTGTGAAAATAATTGAAGCTAGTGTTTGTCTTTTTCATTCATAACCGCAAAGAAGCAAATGTAAGTCCCCTATGTCACAGCTAAGTGGCCACCACTTACCCAGGTTCCAAAAAATTTATCTTACCAGGAACTCCTTATCCTTATTTTCTTTGAATGAATTTGTCAGGATCTGACTACTTTAATTCAATTAAAAAGAATGGCATAATTTAATTTAGAAATCAAAATCTGGGTTGACAGCTTAGCAGAGTATAGAAAAAAAGTAAAGTAGAAAGGAGCAGAAAGGCAAAGGATTATCTCCACTTGTGTTCTTTTTCGTATGGATAAGGAGGTTTATCTCCACTTTACAAAATTGATAATTCCATAAACGGCGCTCTTTTTCTAATCCATTAAAGCTTTATCTCCCAACAAAGCGAAAAGATCCAAATTTATCCTTGTCTATTCCAAATCACTTGATATTTCTTGATTTCATTACACTTTTGTCCGTTCATACCATGTATAATTGGCAATTCAATGAACAACATTGTTTTCATCCATTAAATCTTTATCTTCAAACAAAAAAGGAATCATAAAGCTAAAAGATCTTAATATCTCATACATTTCGAAATTACTCAATTTTACTTCATTATATTTTTGGTCTATTCGTTATACTACACATCAACAAATCATCTATCGTAATGAAGCTCCAACATAGAATGAGTAGACCTCGTGTTGTTTGGTGTGAGGGATAAAAGTAAATAGGGATGGGATAAGAAAATAGTAATGGGATGATTTTTTGTGTCTTGTTTGGTTGTCATGTTTAGGATAATTTATCCCACAATTTATACCACAGTAATGGGATAAGTAATCCCAGGATAATTAATCCCGAGATAGCTTGTTCCCAACCAAACGAAGGGGTAAGTTATTCCATCATGTATATGAGAGAGGTTTACTTATTTTATCATTATGATAAAAATTGTGGAATAAACAATCCAAGAATTATATAATACCTCCAACTAAACTAAACGCAGTTACTCAATCTAAAAAAGTGCAGGGACAAATTTAACCATTTTCCCAACAACAAATAATAAAGTAGTCCACAAAACTAGCTTGTTCCTCCAATTAATCATCCTTTTATCATTCAATTTCTTTATTTATGCACAAATTGACCAACTCATTAGCCAATTGAAATGTATAAACTAATACTAAAATATACAGTACTAGTATATCAGTTGATTATACATTACGAAGAATGAAAAATAACCAGTCATGATGAGCTGTAGGCTCTGAGGATTCATCTCCATTCTCCACCACTGAACTCGTTGTGTGCTATTGGTATTTTGCAGCATTCAAAGGGCCAATCAGACGAAGTTAGGCCCATCCCTGCCCAAATCCAAGGACCCTCTAGCCGACGCCGGAATTGAAGCGTAGCGCGTCGAGAAATCTCGGAGCCCGTACTCATCCTCCTCTCCGTTATTATTACCTTCGTCGAAGTTTAACGCATAACTGAGAGGATCGTACTGGAATTTCCCCTGCGCACCATTTTTATTCCGATTGAAACGCCGGATAAAAGTTTTCCATCTCGGTCCCGCTACAATCTCCGACCACTCTCGTAGCTTCATTAAAGCGTTAATCCCTTTAGCCCAAACAGAACCTTCTTTCACTTGTTCAGTCTGTTCCTTACGCCACCATTTCAAGCCGCCGCTTCCAGACGACGACGGAAAGCAAAAACAGCAACGCCGCTTCTGGAATAGCTTCTCCGACGTCTCCTCGGTTGGCTGGGTGTATGTGTGTGAGAATTCAGGTGCCTCCATAGCCAAATCGTTCCAATGTAGGAATATTATACAGCAGCAGAGAATTCAGGGTTTTTATATATAAACAAATCCACTTGCGAGACTTGTCCTATCTGTCCTTTGCAGAGCTGTAACTGTTAAGGAGTGACTGGCACCGGGAATTACCGGTTTAAAATAATATAGGCGTACCGCTCACTTTGAGTACAGTTTTGGAGTTATATGACCGGCTCTCTCAATATTCTTTTTCTTTCTAAAGGGACTTCACTTGAGTACAATATGGGTATATTGTACAGCTACGCTAAATGGCTGTCACAACTCAGCCATGGCTTTAGTTACAAAATTTGATAAATTCAATCTAATTATCACACTGCTTCTCTTCGTTTTAATTTTAATTTGTTTATTTTTTTCTTTATTTTTTAAAATTTCATGTTAAATCAATCAAACAAACAAATTGAAACGGACAAAGTATTAGTTATACTTGGTAACTATAGGTTTTAATTTGATATTATAGTAATTTTTATGTATATTTATGTTCCACATTAAAAATATTGAAATTTTTTATCATGCCAAGTGGCAGCATCTGCACCTGGCTACGTGTAAGATTACAATTTGCTTTTCGTCTTCTTTTGTTTTTTATTTTTCTGAAAAGAAAAAGTTGGTTGAATTCGTTCCATTGTTAAAATATCAATCCTGGCTTTTTGTACAAATATCCAGGCTTGTAATTGAAGATGGGTTGAGCCTGAGCGCCACAAAATATTCAGCTACGCGTCTCCAACGCATAATTAGGCATCATGCACAATGAATCGTCAAGTGTATTTGCACAAACTTTTTGAGTGGATAATCGTCAAGTGTATTTGTAGAAACTTTTTGAGTGGATAATCGTCTTTTTCTAACTGAAGGGACCTATATTCTTGCTCATCGTTTTCTTTCTTTTTTGTGAATCTTCCTCACTGGATTTTGATAGCCTAATGTAAAATTTTATTTTATTTTATTTTTAAAAAAAAGGTGACATCAATGACCGACCTTTTAAAAAAATAAATATATAATCAGATTCCTGACCAAATGAAGTCAAGGTTTGCTCAAGTTTACGATGACAAACAGATAAGATCAAAAAACAGAAGTGCCTAACTTTAAAGCATAAAAACGTGTTGTTGATTTTATGAGATGGCTTTTCATCCTTAGCAAAGACAGGAAACCAAAACATGCAGAGAAATGTGAAATGAACATGCACTAAAGTATCAGGTGATGTCAAATTCCAATGGCATTAAAAAGCACGGACAAAGATGTCAATCTTTTAAACTTTATCAACTTGCAAATGAGATTTAGTTGCCAAAAGATGGCACCAGCCACCTAAAGCAGCACATACTACCAACTTGTGGGTGTATAAAATTAACCATGAGTGAAGAAGTACTTCGAAGGCAAGAAGGCTTATAATAGTCACAGATTCTTGCACATTTTGATACAACTTGAAAGTTTTTGGTCCAAGTCGTACCCAATTATAAGGCAGACCCAACCAACAGATGACAAAGACCTACAATACATGGTAACAACCATGCTGCAAGTGACGAATGCTACTACATTTTCTAATATACCTAATTGCTATAAACAAATGAGTTAGATGGCACCCAATAGCCTTTTCATAGCGAGAAAACAAGTCTAGTCATTGCAACCAGAGATAAAAAGGAACATAGAACAACATCTGTAATAAAAGCAAGAATACTCCATAAGAATTACTAAAGATCCGACTTAGTTTTTTGTGAAGAAAGCAACCTAAATCTGAAATTTGATTAATCTTTCTCCATGTTTAAGTTGTCGGTGATGAAGGTACTCAAACAAGACATTTCTATACTTACTTCCCGAGCTAGCAAAAGCTCCCATGAAGTCTCGACACATAGACATAATTTGCCCACAAATATGGTAATCAACTGCTATCTAACTCAAGCAAGACATTTCTATACTTACTTCCCGAGCTAGCAAAAGCTCCCATGAAGTCTCAACACAGAGACATAATTTGCCCACAAATATGGTAATCAACTGCTATCTAACTCAAATAAACTAGTAGTAACATGTTACAAGCTGTCCCTATCAGATATTGCTATCAGAAAAATGATTGCCCATTGACTCACCATAAACTTTATGATCTGCTTGAACAAAATAGTGCATTAGCAGAACACCTTTGAGTATGAAATGTGTTCAACAATAATTGTGAATTTTTCATGTTACCTCGGTCTTCTCAATGGATTTTTTTAATTAGAAGGCAAGGAAACTCATGTTGGAATAGAGTACTAGAGTAGTGCTAGGACATATCGAAAAACATTTATCAAGTGTAAGTGGCAACTCATGTATGTATAGAGTAGTGCATGACAACTCTTGCTCATCGCGTTATCCACACAGAGCCCAGTCATTTTCAGTGATTCACAAGTAATAAAAGCCAGATCTACGAAATGATCAAATTAATGAAACATAGGTACAACACATATTGATTGACCAGATTAGTTGGAAAAAAGCAAAACTAAATATGATAAATTGGAAAATTAATAGGAAAGACGATATTCATTTACTTAGACAAATCTTGTGACCACAGGGAAAAATCCATGTCAAACTACTGCTGGTATTACCAAATATGGAATAATGGAATTTGCTCCCAAAACATTCTAACTATTAACACAGAGAAGAATGTATTTTTTCCACTTAAGAATACCTGCTTTAAAAGCTCAAGTATAATGCCTGCATGATCTTTGTGAGATAAATAACATTTTGTTTGAATAATAGATTGCTAGACAGTGGGCATGCAATCATCCCAGATGACTCATGTCAATCTGTATACTAGTTTTGCTGCTCAAAAGATATTCCAATTGCAGTGGCCCTTGGAGATTTGGTCTAGTGGTTAGAACGCAACACGAATTGTGGTGTTAGGCACACATCATGGGTTCAAGCCAAAGTGTTTTGCATTATGCACCACTGACCCTCGCAAATTTCTCAGTTATAAAGAAAAAGATTTCACTTGCAGTGCACACAAATGATTTAGATACACAACATAGTTTGAGTCTTACAAAGTCAACTAGTTACACAGCGCATACAAAGCTAAA